CTGGTAGTAAAGATAAGTAGAACCCACTCCTGATGTCTGTGTGTGTGTGCACGTGTGCACATGAGCTCCCATTTCAGCACTCAGTGATGAAAAGGTTTGCCAACACTGCCCTGTAGCATTCTGGATAAATAGCTGTCCAATTTCTTCTTGAAAACCTCCAGTAATAGAGCACCCACAACTTCTGGAGACAAACCATTTTACTGCTCAATTGTTCTCAATATGAAGTAATTTCTCCTTCATTCTAGGTTAGATCTCTCTTTGATAATCTTTCAACCATTACTTCTTGTACTGCCCTTAAGTGGTTTGGAAAATAGGAGGAGCCTCACCTCTGTGGCAGCCTCTTAGATATTGGAACACTGTGACCATGTCGCCTTTTGTCCTTCTCTTTGTAGACTAGACATATCCAGTTCCTGCAACCATTCTTCATATAGAAGAATGATTGTTTTAGCCTCCAGTCATGTAATCATCTTTATTGCTCTTCTCTGTACTCTTTCTAGAGCAGGGATGTTAAACTCAAGGCCTGCAGGCTGGATTCTGCCCATGAGGTGCTTAGATCTGGCCCGTGCTGGGCTGCCCTGTGCTGAGCCGCCCTGGAAACAGTGAAGGAACAGTCCACATTGCCTCTGCCAGCAAAAACGGAGCGTGCAACCCTCCCGAACTCCATTTTTCACTGGCAGAGGGGTTGCAGGATGCCATTGCAGCCAGGAACAGAGCTTGGGAGCCCATTTTCGCTAGCAGAGTGCTCAGGCCACCACAGGCACACCTGACACAAGTGATGTTGAGCTAGCCACGCCCATCCTGGCCATGCCTCCCCCCCAAGTCAAACACAATCCTGATGTGGCCCTCGATAAAATCTAGTTTGACATCCCTGTTCTAGAGCCTCAACATCTTTTTTGTATTGGGATGACCAGGACTGGATGCAGTATTCCAAGTGTGGTTTCATCTGTGCAGTATAAAGTTATATTATCACTTCAAGTGATTTTGATACTATCTAGGTCTGCATTGATGTTTTTTGGTAGGTGCAGCACACCGTTGGCTCATACTTCAGTGATTGTTAAAGAGGACTTTTTTTTAAAAAAAAAGCTTTATCTAGAAGTGTTCTGAATCCAACCTAGCACCTTCTGCACACTTAACATTTGTTTTGCTAAGTTGTAAGACTTCACACCGCAGTCTCTTTTTTGCAGCCCAGCCCAAGGAGAGAAAAGAATGATTCACCCAAAAGTCCCTAATGATCACAGCATCAACGCTTAACTGTCCTCCATTTTCTTAAAAGACAATAAACATTTTACAAATGAGTAATGCATTCAAGCATTGGTGTGCTAATGACAATCAATTAACCAGGCAGGTTTATAGGCAGGCAGGAGAAACGTATATTCTGTCCTGCCTCTGCAACAGGTGGACTGAAAAGAAATAGACATCTGTTCTAAAAACACCATGTACTGGCTGATAAAGAGAAGCTAAAACTCTCTTGCCTTTTCTTTCTGCCAATCTTCCACACTTAGTAAAAATATTTTGCAGGTTACTAATTATTGTGAAGTCATTGACCAAGCTTTTCTAAGAATTTCTCACAAAGCATCAGCATTTAGAAGAGTGTTCCATCATCTTGGCAACTTGAAAGTGTGTGAACTTCAACTCTCACAATTCCCCAGCTAGCATAGCATAGTTGCCTGGAGAATTCTGGGAGTTGAAGTCCACATATTTTCAAGTTGCCAAGATGGAGGAACAATGATTTTGAAGATCTGTATGATTTTTGCCTCTTTCAGCTTCTTTCCCTACCTGCTGGGGTTATGGGAGCTATAATTCCACACATCTGGAAAATTCTTGCTTCTGGAATGCTACTGAATCTCGTTTCATCTAACTCTTTCTCTCTGGATTTGTATTTATGCCTGCTTCTTGTTGAAGCTTAAGTGAGTCATACAATCTCAAGCTTTTCTACAATAAACATTCTGCCATGATTTCCTCTGATTGTTTAGAGGAACAACAGTAAAAAAAAATGTTCCCTCTATTGTGCTGCATAATAGAATATCTATTTTCAGGCCTGCTCCACTCAGCATAGTGAGGTGATTGCCCTTAAAGGTTCACTTCAAATGATGCAATATTTTAATTTTAATATTAATAGAGAAAAGTGACTTTTTTCCTGGCTGTGGAAAACTAATTCTGAAGCCCCCAAATTGTTGGGAAATAAATTCTAGTGTATCTCATAGCATGTTTACCCAGCTAAAATGGAAAGAAGATTCCAGAAAGAACACAAAGGACTGGTGGTCTATATTATTTCTAGTATAATGGAGCAGAAAATTTCTGGAAAAAGCTTCCAGGAAAACAGCAGGCACTAGTCTCTGGCTGACTCCAAGACAAACACACACACACATGCAGAGAGAGAGAGAGAAAACAGAAAGGACTGCATTATTTATTATGTTGGCGGGATGTGCAATCTTCAATGCTTCTTTTATAAGGAATATATATCTGCATAACAATGGCCAACAGCTTTGTATACCACGATATGCTAACTTTCTAACAGTATTTTTTTTTTAAAAAAATGCGAACCATCCAGAAATGCCTTGACTTATATGTCTGTCTGTGTGGGTTCCTTGTGCACTGCCCAGATTCACTACGTCTGGCAGCATAGAAGTTTAATTTCAGTGAGGCAGGCTAAGAGGTTTTTGGTCACCTACACCTGTTTCTGATCAAATCCTTTGGAGAGCCGTGAAGGCTGCCAGTAGTTTCTTTTTCTATCCTAGCCCTATGGCATCAGAGATCTTTTTTAAAAAAGGCATATATATAAAGAAAATACTTCAACTGGATGGTAATAAGCAAGGCTGGTAACAAAATGGAAGCAAAGATACAATTTGGTTTGTTATTGTTGATGTCAACATTAGGAAGTCTCTTTGGTCAGCGTACATAGACCACGTATGTTTTGAAGCAGAGCAGAACCAGAGCAAGCATGGAATGTCATCAAGTACTAATGAGTAAATTATAGATAATGACCTGCGAAGTTAATAGCCACAATCATAATCCCATAAACATAATCATCTAACTAGCAGACAAGATTGAGATCTGCAGGTGACGAAACCACCTTCCAATGCCTGGGTTTTTCCTACCTTAATGATGGTCTCCTTATGGATAAAATGCTCCCCATGATTTAAGATCCATTTCTCAGAGCACTGTAATATGGGTGGGTCTATCAGCATGGCTAACTAGGGAATTCTGGGAGTTGAAGTCCACGCATCTTAAAGCAACCAAGGTTGGGAAACCCTGACTTACATGAGCTGTCTGTTATCCTTCAGCTTGTGAAGGAAACTACTTAGATCACTTGAGTCTGATTGCTTTCACCCAAGTACAATATGCTGCTTATAGTGTTGTATAGCTATCTTTAAAGGATTCTCAGCTGCGGTGGTGGTTTCAAGTATTTTCTAAAACTTTTTAAGCCATGGCTCTAGAACAAAATGCTTGTGTATCATGAAAAATGTCTCATATTTTGCTGCTACCTTCAGATAGGGTTGTAGGAGCCATATGGAGATAGCTGAACAGCAAAGGATATGACAGCATGCAATGTTTTGGTAATGTATTAATATTTTTTGTGGCTTGGAATTCAATCATCTTTCATTTGATCAAGGAAGCCAAATAGCCAGATCACTTTACCAGTAAATATCACTTCTCACTAAGGTAGTGAGTATACTTGGAATATTTGGAATAAAAGTACTCCATCAGGGATGGTAGAGTAGGGCAGCCAGATTTAGGCTAAAAAAATAAACCTGAGTTTTCTATACCTTTTTGGCTCCTGTCTAGTGATCCTATGGATGGATTTGGTTTTAATTTCATAACCTAACACCAATTACGACTTTTGTATTGCAGGAAGTATTTAATTTGTACAGGTTTTCTTGTTCTCAGTCACGCATGGAATACAAGTTTATCAACCTTCGGCAGAATTCAAGTTGAGAAACAGTGGAGACAAGGTCTTTATTGTTGACTATCCTTTTTTGCCAGTATATCCTGTCTTGAAACCCTTACATCACAAACAGCTTCCTTCCTCTTAATAGTTAATCACCGAAGGCATTATACATTTCCGAAGTAATTGCCCTAACAATTAGATATGCAGATATCCCTAATTATTCTATGAACCACATTGAGCTGACAAACCAGTTTTTAATTCTTACTTATAGTCCAACTGCAGATATGTTTAATGTGCTTACTTTGTATTTTATCTGGAAACCTCATTCAAGTTAGCTCTGAAATAACTAGGGTATTCGCAGGGGGACCACTCTGTGATGCAAAGGACAACACTTGCACTGTGATACTTGTTCTGTTACTTTGGCTACTTTGGTTAGGTATGACCTAAAGGAGCATATTACATCCCAGATAAAAGCATTATATTACCGTAGTTGTCACTGTGTCTCTGAGGGAAATGCAAAGATGATTTTAAAAATACAGGTTGACTATTCTTCTGAGGTTTGCTTACATTGCCCTGAGTTGATCTGTAGCATCTTCTTTGTATAAATAGTCCTCGACTTACAATATTTTGCTTAGTAACCGTTCAGTAACCAGCACTGGGGGGAAAAAAGACTTACGACCATTTTTCACTCTTCTGACAGTTACAGCATTCCCGTGGTCATGTGATCAAAATTTGGATGCTTGGCAATTGGCATATATTTATGATGGTTGCAGTGTCCCGGAGTCATGTGATCCCCTTTTGCGATCTTCTGAGAAGCAAAGTCAATGGGGAAGCCAGATTCACTTAACAGCCGTGTTACTAATGTAACAACTACAGTGGTACAGTTAACAACTGTGGCAGGAAAGGTGATAAAATGGGGAAAAACTCAGTTAACAACTGTCTTGCTTAGCAATGGAAATTTTGGGCTCAATTGTGGTCATAAGTCGAGGACTACCAGTATTCATCTTGATCTCTGAAATATGACGCCTGCTCAGGTCACTGACCTTGTAACTTAAAAAGGGCTCTAATTTAATCCATTCCCCCAACCCCCAAATTAAGACATAACAGCTGCTGAAGGAATAAAGGAATGATTTATTTTAGGGTCTTTATACAATCCAAAGCAGGGAAGGATGGAGAAGCATTAATTCCCTTTAATGCAAGTTCCTTCAAATGGCAACACACCCTAGGAAGAAAGCTCACTGCATATCATCACAGCTAGGGCAAGCAGGCAATGCTGTCTGAACACAGAAGCTTCTCCTTCATTCAAATGGAAGGTTAAGGAAAACAAACAAACAAACAAACAAAAAAACACATCCCAAATCCCATTGTTCTGCTTAGAGCATTTCTTATCTTTGAGAACTGGAAATTTCAGGAAAAACAACTGGTACTGAAAAATGGCACACATGGAAGGGAGGGGAGAGGTGGGGCCATCTGAGCAGCAGTTTTCCTGCAAAAGCTAACTTTCAAGGGGGGAGCTGTTCATTTCCACTCATGACAGTGGACACCCAAACAACCCCCTGTATTTCTCAAAAAAAAAACCAAACACCTTTCTACCTGGCACAGTCTGGTGATTTTAGGGTAGCAGGACTACCCCTTTAGAAAACAGAACTGTGATCGGTGATTTTCCCACTTCCCAATTCATACTTGCCCCAAACTGTAAGTTCCACTCCTTGAGGGACTTTGCTTTGCATGATGAAGAGCGGGATTTAAAATCAGCATTTAAAAATATTGAGAAAGGAATGGAGGGCAGCCATGTTAGTTCGTAGCAGCAAGAAGACAAAGTGCTGTGCCATTGCAGAGGCCAACTGATTTCTCAAGGTATGCAGCAGTTTACACACACACACACACACACACACACACACACACACACACACACACTCACCCAATTTATTAAATGCAAGGGCGGAGAAGGAAGGCAGACAACCAAAAATCTTAGTCTCTAGGTTGAGGAAGCAGAAGAAATGTAAGGACTTCCTTTTCATCTGCACAGTTTCTTACATAACGGTTAGAAGTGGAGGGAAAGGTATTTGTCGCTCTCAAACCAGACATATTTTTCATCATCACAGGATCTTTCCTTGCACTGCATTTCAGAAGTTCCTTAAAATGACCACCAAGGTCGGATATGCATTTCAGGTGTTTCAAAAGTGGCATAAATCAGTTGATAAACACCAGCACAGACATGCCCTCTATTTGTGCAGGAAGGAATCAAGGCTCCTGGATTCTTATTAAGGAGTGTTGCAGAAAAGCTGGGCAGTCAGAAAGTTTAAGGTTCTGCTCCCAGTTTTCTAAATGTAGTGGGGTTCAGAGGATTACAGAAGAAAGATACAAAGTGTATGTCCAGGAACCAAGATCTGATTTCAGTTGCCCTTGCTAATAATGCCCAAGGGATCAGAAAATGGCCCTGCTAAAATAGGATTAGTTTATTAATTCATTAACAAAGACAGTAAAATGCCAAAAAAGGAGACGACACCCCTTTCGTTGCTTTGAAAAGGGATAAAGGGAGGGGAGACTGTTTTCTTTTCCCTCCGATAGGGAGGGAGCAGTCGCCCCCCTTCCCCAACCTGGGCACCAGGGTCTCACCCCAACACATCACATTACGGGGGTCCAGAGATGGGTTACCAGGGTTCACAGCCACGTAGCAAAGCGCAGTTGTACAGCAAGTCTACAGGGGCACCCTGGAGTTGGTACCCCTGAATCCTGTGCTCCCCTCAACATTCCAAAGGGGGAGCTGGGTACAATCCCAAATCATCTCCTGGTGAAGCAGCGACCTGAAAGAAGAAGGGATCCCATGAAGATTGATCGGCTGGTACCTGGCAGGTCTTGACCACAGCTCTATTTTGTACATTAAAATGTAGCCACATTTAATCGCTGAATACTAGTATGTTATAAAACACAGACTTGTCATAAGATGCTCTTGCCACAAAGGATTATCAGTCCAGAAGAACTGTGGCTTTACACCCCCTGAAATATCAAACTCTTTGAAGTGAGATCAGTCCCCACCATTTTAGACTTCCAGAAGGGCCTTAAAATCTGGCCCTATGGATTGGCCTGGGGTCCCGATGGTGGATAGTGAACAGACTGAAGGTGGATAGTGGACAGAGAGAAGATTCCACCTCCGCCCTGTTTGTATTTTGCTCTCGTCCTTCGTCATCTTTCATTATTTTAATATTAATATCCAATTGTTTTTAATATTTTTTATGTTTTATATTGTTTTTATTTGTTGTAAACCATCTAGAGTCACCAGAGGGAAAGATGGACAACAGATACATTTAATAAATAAATAAACCCATGGGGATAACTAGCGCATCTGCTGATCTTTTTGCACAGGGCTGCTGTTTAATCCACTTGTTCCAGAATAAAATCAGCAATGGATGGAAACTAATCAAGGGGAGAATCAACCTAGAACTAAGATGAAATTTCCTAACAGTTAGAACAATTAATCAATGGAACGAGTTGCCTCCAGAAATTGTGAATGCTCCAACACTGGAAATTTTTAAGAAGAGATCGGACAACCATTTGTCTGAAATGGTATAGGGTTTCCTGTCTGAGCAGGGGTTTGGACTAGAAAACCTCCAAGCTCCCTTCCATCTCTATTCTAAATTGATTCTTCCAAGGCAGAGGGCTCTGGGAATGGTGCCTTGCTTAAGAAACCCCCTCCTCAGATTTACAAGTAATGCCATGATTAGGGAATGGGATTCATAGGTTACATCTCTGGGTTGAAAGGTTTTCCTGAGGCAAATTAGCCACCCTTGAAGATGAACAGCTATACTTGCCACTGGCCTGAATAGGCTCTCAGGGCCCTTGATAGGCAGGCTGGAATCGTGCAGTTTCTTCAAATATCAGTTCTTTCAGCTTCTCTTTGGGCAAGTCATCCAGCTCCATGTCAAACCTGAAAGGTTCCTCAGCAACTGGCTAATGTGGGGTAAAGAGAGAGAGAAAGAGAGAGAGAGAGAGGAGAGAGAGAGAGAGAGAGAGAGAGAGAGAGAGAGAGAGAGAAACCAGAATATAGAAATTCTGCTTCCCAGCCATGTTAAGGCCATGGTGTCAATTTCTGAGCCATTCTCAGGTCGTCATTTTAAAAGACACCCCCCACCCCCTTCAAAGAAAAGAACCCGCACCTCGTCTGAAGGGTCGTAGTACTGCTCAAGGTAAGGGTGTGCCAAAGACTCCTCCACTGTGATACGCTTATTGGGATTAAAGGTCAACATTTTATCCAGCAGGTCCAGAGCTGAAAGGGATTGAAAAAAATAATGAAACGATGCAGGATCAGTTGCTGGACCACAAGTGGCAACAAGAATATTCCATTTTGTTTATGCATCCCCCCAGTGGTAGCAGAGAGCAATGCAGGAAACATTTGTCTGATTTCTGAGGTAATTTGTCTCAGAAAGCAGATGAAATCTGAAGACTGAGTTGGAAGGCTTATCTTCCCTATAAGAAAAGCCCTGCTGATTCAGACCAGGGATCTGGGTCAGCATCCTCTGTAAAGCCCACAACTCTCTCACGAAACAAAAGCGAAGTGGATGACAGTCTGTGTTTTTCAAACCTCGCCACTTAAAACGTGTGGACTTCAACTCCAGAATTCCCTAGCCAACATGCTGGAAGTTGAAGTCCAGGCATCTTAAAGATGCCAAGACTGAAAAACACTGATTTAAACAGTGGCCATCCTTATGAGAACATAGTTATTACAGTTACTATAAATTATGTTTTATTTGCTTTTGGTATGATTGATGTTATTGACCAATACTTCTCATCTCTTCTTATGTGGCCAGAAATCTCATATAAATTATAATTTTATATGAAACAGAACTTCCATTTCTTTATTTAAAATCTTGTTGGATAACCATTTGTCTGAAGTGATGTAGGGTTTCCTGCCTAAGCAGGGGGTTGGACTAGAAGACCTCCAAGCGTCCCTTCTGTTATTCTATTCTAACTCAGCCTCCTATGGTAATGAAAAACTTTAAATTATATAAACAAAAATTAAAGAGGAAAGTATTAGTATTTGCCACATGTAAGAATATTACTATCTATGCTTACACTATCTTTTAGATTGTCTTATTTCAAAAATGGAATTGGTAGCTGAAGAAGACAACAAAATTGGTTAAGGGTGGGGGACTTGGAAAAGCATTGGAGTTCTTAAGAAAAGTAAGCTGATGAAGATGATCTATGAATTAAAGTGAATTGGGGTTTTTTTGAGTAGTGCTCTGATATACAGATAATATATGTTACCAAGGCATTATAAAGTGATATTAACACTTCACGTGATCTTGATTCTATCCGTCTGTTTATGCAGCCTAGAACTGTGTTCATATGAACAATATCTAATACAAGTTAAACTTAACTTTCCTGGTTATTCACAGTCTGTTCAGATCCTTAAGCCTATTTATCTTAAGTCTTATTTATGAAATAAATAAATCTAGCTGGATCTTTATACCAATGTTTACCATTTTGTACTAACGGTGCTGCCTCATGTCTGCCTGGGAAAAAAATATACATGAAAGCTAAATTAACAGATGATGGCCAGAACAGACAATAAAAGATAAAGAGGCTTTGAAAACTGATGTTTGATGAAGAGGCGATTTTAGAGAAAAAATACAGAATTGGGCAATAGAATTGGGTGGATCACATGAAAATAAATTTCTATACACATTTTTGAAGCTGTATATACCTAACTTGGGGGAAGGTGTGTGTGTGTGTGTGTGTGTGTGTGTGTGTTTGTGTGTCTCATTCTGGAGGTGGTTAATGGACAAAGACACAACTTCCTCCCCTTGTGCATCTTGCTCCCTTCCTTCCCATCTTATCAATTTTAAATCAATTGTAATGTTAATATTTAATGTTTTAACATTTTAATGTTTTATCATGTTTTTATGATTCTAATCAGTCTTGAGTCACATCTAGGTAAAATGGGCAGCATAGAAGTTTAATAAATAAATAAAACATACTGTGTAATATATAATATTACTATATATCATATAATAGTATAATGTAAGAAAGGTTGTATGTCATGGCACTCCTAGTCTAGAGTTCCCTTCTATTGCCAAAGCAAAACATTGCCCATTGATCTCTGAAGCTTAATGCAACATTTTGTCCAAAAAAAAGGAACAAAACTTTTGGCCCTCTTCCGGTAATATTACTTCACTATCACCGCATACCCGGCATCCTTCAACCACAAAAAATTGCCTGCTTCTGTTACAGATTAAGCTGCTCTAGGAACCAGTTGTATTTGAAAAACGTCACATCAATGTCACACAAGAGAACTTCTTTTTAGAAGCCTTTAGAATTAGTATAAGGTATTGTTTGTATATCTGTCTCTCTCCCCTTCAGCATGTATCTTCCACTGAAAGCTGGGAATGATGTTGACCGTAAAGTACACATTTCGTTATCGTATTGAGGAAGGCTGATCTAAATGCGTATTTTCAACTGAAGAGACAGAAAGGAAGTTAGTCTTCCTGCACTGAGTTACAGAGAATGCACAGACTGTTTAAATGACAGAAGAATTCTCTTTTCTTGCTAACCCTAACCGCCTAACTAAATCAGGGGTGAGGAACTATGGCCCTTTTATGACTTGTGGACTTCAACTCCCAGAATTCCTGAGCCAGCCATTTAGGCCATAGTTCCCCCACCTCTAGCCTAAATGGAAGGAGACAGAAAGTGAAATGTAGGGCCATTCTGCCTATATTGTACCACGTGTGTGGTTTTAGGCACGCCAATCAGTTTTTGCATAAAGATCTCCAACCACATTAAAAAGTATAGCCAGTTTCTAAATGATGAAGTGTAGAAACGATCTTCACCCAAACTGGACCCTACTAGTGGATGGATGGCTTGGTGAAAGTTTTACAGAATAACTGAGGATACAGAAGTTTAACTTTTAAATAAAATAATAATGGGGAGACTGTTAATAGCACATACAGATGGGCTCCTCCATTTCTAAAGAGTGCAATTAAAAAAAACCTCTGATGTCAAAATATTGATTTTGATGGAACATTAATAGTGCCTACCAAGCTACAAAAGGCTGAAGAATTCTGGCCTGTCAGCCAGTAGCTGAAGACTGATTTATCAATAAAGAGCCAAACATGCCAAACAAAGAATGAAGCCATGCATTTTCAGCCTTCTTTCTCCCTTACCTTTGGGATCAGCCTTTGGGAACAGTTTAGCCCAAGGAACTTTGGGCTTTTGAGGCAATGACTGGAGATAATTGCGAGCCTTCGTGTTGATGATGCAGTTCAGGTCATCCTGAGATGGGGAACCCAAAATACCTGGAGAGATGGGTGGAGAGAGAGCCATTGCACATCTATGTAACTGCAAGCCCTAGAGCAGTGGTTCTCAACCTGTGGATCGCGACCCCTTTGGGGGTCGAATGACCCTTTCACAGGGGTCGCCTAAGACCACTGGAAAACACATATTTTCAATGGTTTTAGGAATAATTTTATGGTTGGGAGTTACCACATGAGAAACTGTATTAAAGGGTCGTGGCATCAGGAAGGTTGAGAACCACTGCCCTAGAGAAATGGGCATTAAACTTATAATGGGGAGGCCTTATGAGCAGGAGAAAGATAGAATCAGTTACCGATTCAAGAAGCTGCTCAGAACAAGTCTTTTACAAGGCCACCCTGTCAAAGTCTTTGTTCAGTCGCCTTCCTCTTACCCAGGATGTGGTTCAGCTGGTCCAGGTAGTGCTTGCCAGGAAAGATAGGTCGATTTGACAGCATTTCAGCCAAGATGCAGCCCACTGACCATATATCGATGGACTTAGTGTAGCCCTGGAAAGTGGGAGAAGACACAGAAATAGAAGCTAAGGATTTCTGACTCTGTTCTCAGCTGCTGTTAAGCCATGCATTGTCACCCTTTTACAGGGGTGGGTTCTAAATTTTTTTACTACCGGTTCTGTGGGCGTGGCTTATTTTGTGGGTGTGGCTTGATTGTCATGTGACAATTCTTTAGGATTTAGCAGAGGTACTGATCTACTAGGCTTTTAATTGCTTGAAAAGCTGTACCGGTTTACTCATTTGTTTTTGGAGGGACTAGTCTACCCATTTATTTTTGCAGGCACCGGTCTACTCATTTGTTTTTGGAGGCACTGGTCTACTCATTTATTTTTGCAGGCACCGGTCTACTCATTTGTTTTTGGAGGCACCAGTCTACCACCACACTGCCTTTTAACACTGATCAGCTGTAGGGTGGCCCTTTGAAGCCCCTCGGCAAGAGTTTAAACAGTTTTTTCTTTCTAGACAATCAGCTGGGACTCGGAAGGCAGCAATAGATTGGGGGTGGGGCCAAATAAAAGGTAAGAATAACACGGGTGGGGGGGGAGCAGAACCGGTTCGGTGACATCGTATCGTCACCGCTACCGTCTTGGCGGAACCAGGCGGAACCCACCACTGCCCTTTTATTGACATGGATGTTTCCCTCCTAGCAAATAAAGTTTTCAGTTTAATGTAAGACAGGCATCTTAAACTATGGACCCAGCAAAGGAAACATTTTCAGGAAAATTTAAGTTTCTCCAGCCTAGCCTATGCAACAGTCTTCCTTATAGGATCCTTCAGTTAGGCCTCTGTGTGTGGGTTAGGTATGGCTAGAACTGCTATGGGAATTTGTACAAGTAAGTGAAAGATAATATAAGAATTGTGAGACTGTGGTTCTGCTATGCATTGAAGCTTTTTATGGCAGATGCAGGCATTACCTTTTTTTTTTTTTTTTGAGAAGCTGGGAAACTTTACACTCAACTAAATTGGAGGTATAATAAATATCTTTTGGGCGTTTTGACTAACATGTTCTATTCATTCTAATTAATTTACCTTGGAATTAAGCATGATCTCAGGAGCTCGATACCAGCGAGTGGCAACATACTCTGTTAAGAAGCCTGTGTGATCGTGGTCTGGATCAGCAATTCGGGCTAAGCCAAAATCACAGATCTGTAAGAAGAGAGAGAACCATGGAGTGGCAACCCCCAAATAAATGGAGAATTAATTGCCCTGAAGAATGAAGCAGGGAAGAGATTGTTGCCAGGTGCAGAAAGCCTAGCAAAAGATTTAGAATGCCACCTTCAGGTCACACGTGGTGTTGATGAGAAGATTGCTTGGCTTCAAATCCCGGTGAAGCACATTGGCAGAGTGAATGTATTTCAGCCCTCGTAGAATCTGATAGAGAAAGTAGCAGATATGGTCATTGCTGAGTTGCTGTGTCTTCAGAAGCTTATAGAGATCCGTCTCCATCAAATCCTGAACTATATATCTGAAAAAAGACAAACAATACCCCTCTCCACCAGGAAAGGGGAAGGAAGGGAAGCTGTCAAGGAAAGTAACTTCCTGCAAAGAATACAGAAGGCAGCTTTTCCAGAAGTGGTCAAATAAATGACAACAGCGGCCACAACTTGAGTTTGCTTTTAATAGCTCAAAGCCAGAAAGAGGCATAATTGAAGCCAGATTCACACCAGGTTCAATTCATCTCCTGTATAAAGTAGATCATCATCACTTTACCAGCTGCTGTATAAAAACAAGCAAAGGGATGTGACTGAAGAAGCTTTCTTAATTTTAGAGGACATAAGAGAAGAAGAGGCAACTGTTTTATAAGTCCAATTATTAAGAAAGCAACACCTGGAGCCAGGCCAGAAGGCAAATGGAAGCCAGCCCAGTTTCTGGCATAATCATACCCTATTTTACATCATTATATTCAGAATGAGCTAAAGCTTCTAAGCAGTACATTTCATTAAAAACGGACCAGAATGAGACTGACAGATTATAGGACATTTTCTCTATGCATATGCCTTTCTCCAAGCAGATCTCCTTCCACATATGAAAAGACCCAAGTCTGGTCTGCAAGGATACACATCACGCATCTGATCAATGCTAGCTGCACGAAGAATGTCATTAATGCCAATGACATTTTCATGTTTGAAGCGCAGGAGTATCTTGATCTCTCGCAGTGTGCGTTGGCAGTATGTCTGGTGCTCAAAAGGACTGATCTTTTTGATTGCAGCTCGGATCTTGTTGACGTGATCATATGCTGAGCTGTAAAGAAACAAATGCAAATGCATACTGGAATCCTCAGTATATTTTTATTTATTTTTACTTCATTGCTACAGCTGCCCATCTCAGACAAGTGACTCTATAATTGTTTACGATCAAAACTGATAAATCATTTCACTCTCCAATAGAAGAGGATCTCTCTAAAAATTCACAAGAAGAAACATTCTATGCACAAGATGAACCACCAGAAAGCTTGAATGTTTATTTTAATTTTGGACTTCAACAAAAGAGCAAAGGAAGGAACAAGAAAACACTAATAACACATTATACCAATGTGGGACAACAACTATTATAATCTGAGAAAGAGCTGGCTGTTGCCAAGGCTACCGAACAGAAGTGAAACCTCTGAGATCTCAACAGCAGATAGGTTTTGCAAATCTAGAAAACTGGGTTGCTTGATAAGTATATCATGCAAATACTAATTACCAACATCAAATACACATTCTACCACAGAAACACTTGGGGATATACATGTGTTGCACTGACTAACAGATAGTATATTAGTTCCAAATCTACACAGATTGAATTATGGGCAATAAAAATTGAAGAATTACAGAATATGGGAAATCTGACACAAGACCCAAGTTAGTGTGATGTTAAATGAATGGCTGTTTGGAATAAAATAATTCTCAATAAACATCTTGAGAATCATTGTAGCAACAATGCAGCACTCAAGACAGTCCTGCTTAAGACACCCTTAGTTTTAATGTACAGTAAACCAAAGGCTGATCAAAGAAGCCAGCATGTATTATAATTAGATCAATTAGTATCTATATGACACTTAGCATAGTTGGTGAAGATCTGCCCTGAAGGGATAGTGATCTAGGCTGAGGTTGAAACCTGGATGGGGGCTACTGTGCAGCTTAATAACCATAATGCATAAATATTTAATGGAGAGATACAGGCTTGCCAACGCTTCGGGGAAGGGCAGGCAGGCTGTGATTTATGGAACTAAATAAAGTTCATCATCAGGTTGTTTTACTGAACCTGCTGCGCCCACAGAGAAAAGGAAAGTGTTAACCTTCGCGGGTTTTTTTTTTGTTTTTTTTTTGCACCTTCGATACCGACAAGTACAAAAAGAACACCAGTTAAGTATACTGGTCATAAGACAACTCCCAGCTTCAAGGCACCCTAAGCCTTTCACAGAAACCTGCAAATATTGGCAGAGGAAGATAACAGCCTGCGAAGGCTGCTTTCGGGGAGGCGCTCGGAATACAACAATGACTTGGCGGGGCTGCCTGCGACGGCTGTTTTGGGCTTTAGAAGTGTTAACAAGAAGCCAGCTTTGACAGACAGCCGCTGCAACGCGCCCTTGCAACGGCATGGATCCGAAGTCGCCAGGTGCGGAAGGAAAAGGCCTGGCGGGGCAGGGACCCTTAAAGGAGTTTGGGGGGGGGGGGGGGGGGAAAGCAAGTTCCGAATCAGGTAAAATAACGGACAGCCTTGTAGGACTTCGGTAACTAAGAAACAACATGGCGGAAGCTTTTACAGGCGGGTACGGTGGCCGCGCGAAGCCAATTTGCAGGAAGAGGCACGCCAAATAACTCTTGGGACGTTTCGCCCAGGTATGGATCCCGTTCAGGGCCAATCTGCAGGGCTCGCACTCACTTACCAGACCATGCCGTACGCCCCCTCGCCAATGTACTGCAGGTCCGTATAACGTGGTCCCACGTCAAATGCCTGACCTTTCACGGTCTCGACTCCCAATCTTGGCACTCCGGACACTGGCACGGCTCCAGCCCCGCCCGGGGCCGCTGTCGCCGCCGCTGCAGCCATGGCTGATCTAATCAAGAAGCTCCCGCAGCCGCTCTTATCCCCGATTTACCCGGAACCGACACCGCCCGACCACACCGCGCATGCGGCTCGTTGAAGAAACGGCGAGGAAAGCACTGCCCATGCGCTCCTCGAAAGCTGCGGCTGGAGCTCCTTCAAACAGCGCATGCGTCCGTGTTGCCTACTGGACTTGTGCGGGCCGCGGCGCGTCTGGATTGGATGGAAATGTCAGGAGCCCAACCCGGAAGCGCCGCGCCCCAAACATTCCACACCACGATGAGGTCCCACCCTCGGGCTCGCGCGCGCTTGACTCCCATTGGGCCCCGCCTTTTGGCTCAGCGCGCCTCCAATCCTCTTCTTGACGCTGCGCATATGGGCTTATTTTAAGGGATGCTTTTCCCTCCTGGGTTCGAATCCCACGATGGGCATGCATGACACGAGTTCCTTGATTAATTTAACCACGTTCTATTTAAGCCAGGCTTTTGATTTCGCGAAACCCACTGAATCCAGGCGCTAAGAAATATGCAGCGATCCAAATTGGAAAACACAAAGACGATTCGGGAGTGACGCCTGTCGCACCTGTCGGCTGGTCCTTCCATCAAACGTTTGATGGAAAGTTGCAGCAGGTTCACTTGAATTTGCAGACGGGCGAAGAGGCGATGCTGGGTGGTGTCGGCTGCTTTCTTTGGAGGGTGTGTGTGTGTTACTGATTGCAGCACTGCGGTTTTCAGGGGTTTCCACCTCCAAAGGTGGAAATGGCCTTGTAGATTTTAACAATCTGCTGCAAAAAGATGGAAGCATATTTTCCCACCCCTAAATTAGAGTAGTGGTCCAGTTTGTGGCTTAGTGCCTTTTGGGAATATGGTCTTTATTTTTGAACAACCACTCCTACGTTTATCCTGTTCTAAATGTAAATAACGAAAGAAGCACTTGAGTTTCAATTGTGCAGTGGCAAGAATCCTCCCCAGGCTGCCTTTATTTGCTACATTTATTAACCTTCCGCTTTCCCTTTTAGCCAGCCCTTTGAAGTGCATTACAATAAAAATAAACCCAATCCATTTTCTAAAATATGTCTGGCTGGAAATCAACAAGCACATTTGAAATTCCACCAACATTCAGAATAAGCCCTGTAATAGCAAAAGCCACATGCTTAATCTTTTTGCTGGAGGCACAGTGAAAAAGGTAAGGTTTCACTCCATCCACAGGAGAGAAAAAAACAGACTAGCAGCTGGGTCAGTAATAATCAGAACTTGATTGCTGATAGGCCTTAATGGATTACTTTGAAAAAAAATATTTTCCCAATGTAGTCTCCTGAAAACATCAAATAAATTGTTTATATCTCTGCAATTTAAAACTACAGTATGGTTTTTATCAGTCTAAAACAGGGGTCAGCGACCTTAAACACTCAGAGCCATTTGGACCCATTTCTCACAGAAAAGAAAACACAGGGAGCCACAAAACCTGGGTGGCCATGGCCAACTCAACATCACTCACTCCCATCTAGTCACATGGCCCCCCCATCAGGGGTGAAATGCTCCTGGTTAGGACCGGATCGCCCGATCCGGTAGTGATGGGGGCGGGTGGTTCGGAGAACCGGTAGTAAAAATCCCTGCCCCCCCCCACTATGCCCAGCTGAGCTGCAAGATCATCAGAGGCTTTTTTTTTTTTTAACTTTTAAAAGCATTTTTTCTACAACCTCTTCCCATGAAAAAATGCTTTTAAAAGTAAACAAAAAAAAAAGCCTCTGGTGATCGGGTGGCTCAGCTGGGATCGTCAAAGGCTTTTCAAAGCATTTTTTTCTGCAACCTCTTAGCTGAAGAGGTGGTTAAAAAAATGCTTTGAAAAGTCTCTGACGATCCCAGCTGAGTTCCTGATCGGCAGAGAGGCTTTTCAAAGCATTAGAAAAAATGCTTTGAAAAGTTTTTTTTTTAAAGTTGGCCACGCCCACTGTCACATTACCCCCCCAAGCCACGCCCACAGAACCTGTAGTAACAGATTTTACATTTCACGCTTGCCCCCCACCCACGCCTACGCAGCTGGTCATTAGGGCATGTGGTATTGTTGGAAGAAACATCCTGCTAGGTTCTGCTCCAAGTGGGGAAAAAGACACTGGAGACATGAAGACTGCTTGGAAAGATGGTTTAATGGTGGACAGGATCACATGGCTTGAGTTCCTGAACAGAAAAAGGGGCAGATACAGTAAATCCTCGGGTTTTTATGCTCTCTCTGGCTCTGCATTTCTTGGGGCCCCGAAAGAGTATCCTGATTGGTTGTCAGACTCCCAGGGGTGGGGGTCTTATCTAGTCTTGCTGGCTGATGGTCACATGTGCTTCCCCGGTCACATGTGGTGAGTTTCTGCTGCTATTGTGTAGAGGGCTAATCCTATCTTTGTTGGATCTTTGGCAATTTCTACTATGGCTCTGCCTGAAGGAGGTAGATCTTTGTTATGTAGAATAGACTGGCCCAGGCCTTAATGGCCCATTGACAAAGGGTGGGGGGCAGGAAGGTGGGAGCTGCTTTGTCTGTAAAATATGCTTCTCATATTTCTCATCCAGGGAAATATAATATTCTGCCTTTTTCATATTTCCTAAAATATTTCACTCTTCCAGGAAAGGGGTGGGTGCTAACTTCCTACAGTTAGTTGCAAAGTCGTGTCCAACCCATCGCAATTCCATGGACAATGTTCCTCCAGGCCTTTCTGTCCTCTACCATCTTCTGGAGTCCATTCAAGCTCATGCCTACTGCTTCAGTGACTCCATCCAGCCACCTCATTATCTGTCGTCCCTTTCTTCTTTGGCCCTCCATTAGGGCATAGAACCGGTTATTAAATTATTTGCCCCCTTTCCTTTTCTATCTCTCTCTCTCTCTCCTTTCCACTATTTGAGCCCCTCTGGAGAAATTAAGATTTCAAGTACAACTAAAGTTTAGCTCTCAGGTAAGTTCAAAGACTTCTATCTGTTATATCAAAGGAAAGAAAAGTGTGCTAGAAGAGCAAATGGGTGTGGGGAAGAAAAACCAGGACATGGAATGCTTGATGGGTACAGAGATGAGACTGGCTCCTGGGATCCCCTTCAATCCTGGCAGTGTCCTGGGATACCTCATTGAATTAACAAGAGGACAGCAGAGAAATACAGTACATTTATATGAAATTTAAATCATAGGGCACATAAGAAACTGTGTCAGGGAGAATGCACACCTCTGTTATGACCAGGGCCGGATTTAGATGAAAAGAGGCCCTAGGCTATTCCACTTATGAGGCCCTTTCACCAGTGGTGGGATTCAATTTTTTTAACAACAGGTTCTGTGGGCGTGGCTTAGTTGGGGGTGTGGCTTGGCAATCATGTGACTGGGTGGGCGTGGCTATGTGCATAGGGACTACTCAGAGGGCTGAAAAAAGTCATTTCTGACTGGGACTCGCACTTTTGACCGGTCCTCACACTTATGACCATCCTCACATTTATGCCCGTGCAGCTTTCTTAACAACCATGTCACTCATTTCACAACTGCTTCTCTTCACCATGGTGACAAGATAGGGGAAAAACGTAAAATGTGAGGATAGTCGTAAGTTCGAGGACTGGTCAAAAGTGCGAGGACCAGTCAGAAATAACTTTTTCAGCCCTCTGAGTAGTCCATATACATAAAAGGATACAGCAATAGAGAGGGATGAAGGAAGGGAAGGGAAATTAGAGTAGGAGTGAGGGTAAGAGAGGGAGGAAGAGAGGAGGAGAAGGAGAAAGGAAGAGGAAGTAGGGAGGAGAAGAAGAGGGTGAGGAAGAGAAAGTAAGAAGGAAAGAAAAGAGAGAGGTAGTAGGTTTGAGGAGAAAGATTGCTGTACAATAAAAAAGATGAAAGGGAAGAAAGCCAACCCCAAACAAATATAAAGATATTAAGATAAAGAATGAATTGTTAAACTTTAAAGAATAAAAGAGAACAAATATGAATAAATTATAATTAGAAACACACATACAAACATACAATGTATTTTCTTTGAACAGAGTATTTGGCCGGTTCACAAATTTAAACAGTGTTTAGTCATTTCAATTAAATTTACAATTTCTATATTTCCTTTTTGCCATATTTATTCCTCATCTATTTTTGTAAAAAACCAATATTACCCTTCATCCTCATCTCTAATCTTAATCAAATTCAATTTTTCCCTTCTATTCTATATTATACCCCTTCCCATTGTCATCTATTTTTATATCCATCCTCACATTGGTTAATTATGTAATATTAGTTGTTTAATATAAATTCAACATTTTAATATAAATCAATTAGTTATATAACTACCTTTTTTGTATATTAATCAATATGAACATGAATATTCCAATTATTTCCATGCAATCCAATTTCTTACAAATCAATTAATTATATTTACCAATAATAATAAACCAAATAATTTCCCCCATATATTCCTCCAAACCACAACTTAACCATTTCTGCTTTCAGAAATATACAATTAATAGTATCTCAATTATTACAATTCCCTAGTTAAATAGAGCTTTTTTTCTTTTGTGTTTTAAAATCCTGAACTCTCCTCTTTTTCCCTAAATTTCCCATTGTTTGCACCTACCTTTTTGGTGAGGAAAAAGAAAAGAATTCTGCCTGCCTAATTTTCCAACCTTGCAGCAACAGCAAAGCAGTTTCAGTTTCGTTTCTCAGCATAGCTAGGGGGAAAAAAATCAGCACTCTTTGCAAGGAAGCAGAAGAGCCCTGAGCAAAACAGCCGAGACAAATCAGCTGAGAGCCGGAAGGCCAATTAGCCTATGCTGAAGCTCCGTGGGCCAATAAAATTACAAAAAAAACCACCAAACCCTTTGTTAAATTGCTGGCTCCCCCACCCCTCGCCCACCACTATTTATTGGCAATAAATAGTGGTGCGGAGGGGTGGGGCAAGCCAGCAATTTAACAAAGGGTTCGGCTGCACCACTGGCTCTAGGGCGACCCTTTGAAGCCCCGCGGCAAGAATTTGAAGTTTTTTTTTCCTCTAGTCTAGCCATCGGAGGCAGCAATAGATTGGGAGTGGGCGGGTAAGCGAACGGCCGGCGATCCAACAGAGCAGAGAGTGAGGGTGAGTGAAGGCGTGGAAGCTGCTTTCTCCATCCTGCTCTCTTGCGTC